GGCACAGTCTGCTCGGAGTCTGAATGATTTGTATGGGAAGTGTCTACTCGGAGTCTGATTAATTTGTATAGACAATGTCTGCTCAGAGTCTTTAATAATTTGTATGGGAAGTGTCTGGTGGGAGTCAGATTAATGTGTATGGGTAGTGTCTGCTCGGAGTCATATTAAATTGTATGAGTAGTGTCTGCTCGGAGTCTGAATAATGTGTATGGTAGTCTCTGCTTGGAGTCTGAAACTTTTATATATAGTCACAGTCTGCTCGGAGTCTGAATGATTTGTATGGGAAGTGTCTACTCGGAGTCTGATTAATTTGTAAAGACAATTTCTGCTCAGAGTCTGAATATTTTATATGGGAAGTGTCTGGTGGGAGTCAGATTAATGTGTATGGGTAGTGTCTGCTCGGAGTCAAATCAAATTGTATGAGTAGTGTCAGCTCGGAGTCTAAATAATTTGTATGGGTAGTTTCCGCTTGGAGTCTGAAACTTTTGTATATAGGCACAGTCTGCTCGGAGTCTGAATGATTTGTATGGGAAGTATCTACTCGGAGTCTGATTAATTTGTATTGACAATGTCTGCTCGGAGTCTGATTAATTTATATTGACAATGTCTGCTCGGAGTCTGAATAATTTGTATGGGAAATGTCTGGTGGGAGTCAGATTAATGTGTATGGGTAGTGTCTGCTCGGAGTCATATTAAATTGTATGAATAGTCTCTGCTCGGAGTCTAAATAATTTGTATGGGTAGTCTCCGCTTGGAGTCTGAAACTTTTATATATAGGCACAGTCTGCTCGGAGTCTGAATGATTTGTATGGGAAGTGTCTACTCGGAGTCTGATTAATTTGTATAGACAATGTCTGCTCAGAGTCTGAATAATTTGTATTGGAAATGTCTGGTGGGAGTCAGATAAATGTGTATTGGTAGTGTCTGCTCGGAGTCATATTGAATTGTATGAGTAGTGTCTGCTCGGAGTCTGAATAATTTGTATGGGTAGTCTCTGCTTGGAGTCTGAAACTTTTATATATAGGCACAGTCTACTCGGAGTCTGAATGATTTGTATGGGAATTATCTACTCGGAGTCTGATTAATTTGTATTGACAATGTCTGCTCGGAGTCTGATTAATTTGTATTGACAATGTCTGCTCGGAGTCTGATTAATTTGTATTGACAATGTCTGCTCGGAGTCTGAATTATTTGTATCGGTAATGTCTGGTGGGAGTCAGATTAATGTGTATTGGTAGTATCTGCTCGGAGTCATATTAAATTGTATGAATAGTGTCTGCTCGGAGTCTGAATAATTTGTATGGGTAGTCTCCGCTTGGAGTCTGAAACTTTTATATATAGGCACAGTCTGCTCGGAGTCTGAATGATTTGTATGGGAAGTGTCTACTCGGAGTCTGATTAATTTGTATAGAAAATGTCTGCTCAGAGTCTGAATAATTTGTATGGGAAGTGTCTGGTGGGAGTCAGATTAATGTGTATGGGTAGTGTCTGTTCGGAGTCATATTAAATTGTATAAGTTGTATCTGCTCGGAGTCTGAATAATTTGTATGGGTAGTCTCCGCTTGGAGTCTGAAACTTTTATATATAGGCACAGTCTGCTCGGAGTCTGAATGATTTGTATGGGAAGTGTCTACTCGGAGTCTGATTAATTTGTATAGACAATTTCTGCTCGGAGTCTGAATATTTTGTATTGACAATGTCTGATCGGAGTCTGAATAATTTGTGTAGACAAAGTCTACTCGGAATCTGAATAATTTGTATACAAAAAGTCTGCTCGGAGTCTGAATAATTCGTATAGACAAAGTCTGCTCGGAGTCTGAATAATTTGTATAGACAAAGTCTGCTCGGAGTCTGAATAATTCGTATAGACAAATTCTGCTCGGAGTCTGAATAATTCGTATAGACAAAGTCTGCTCGGAGTCTGAAGAATTTGTATAGACAAAGTCTGCTCGGAGTCTGAATAACATGTAATGGTATATACGTAGTGTCACATTATTTGCCGAGGTGGTTGATAATAATTTGATATCCTGTATAAATATGTTCCTCCACTGTATAAAATATGTATACTGAATAAAAAAAGTGTAGCAACATACATTTTAATTAAAAAAAATTGAAATAAGAATTTTCAAAGTTTCGAAAATAAAATGTTAATATTTTTGTGTGACAATAAGAAATTTGTAATTGTGTTGAGAAGTATTATTTGTTTTTGAAATATGATATTCAAAATATTGGTTGCTCAACTTTTTTTTTACTCAGTATACATTGTACAACTACATTACACAGTTCTCTTATATAAAAGGATTTCAAAAGTCGAGTTTGTATACGTGGCCTTGTGAATTGAACTGATACGTGTTTTCGTTGTCCTTTAATCTCTCTTTAACATCAGTGTTTGTTTATAATAGCACTTGTATCTTTAGACTTGAATAATACCATATTAAATAATATCTATATTATTAGAGTCACACATTGTTTTGTTTCATTTTAAGGATGTACGAACGACAGTATTACTAGTCTATCTGAATTTCTGGTATTGTATATTTGATTTTGTAATATGTTATGGTATATGGTTTTTTAAAAATATTTACATTTTGTAATTCGATTTTCATTTCAGACAACATTTTCGATTTTAATCATTGCTAAGAGTATTTTTTAACGGAAACCAGCTGAGAATGGGATAAATTAAATATTTACCATTTTGAACCGAATTTAAATCGATAAATGTGTTAAAAGAATCAAGAATTGTGTCTTCTCTATGGCTTTTAATTCTCCAAACAATATAAAAAAACAGGTAATATTTTACACAGCGTTATCAGAAACTGTTTGATTAGCAAACAACGGCCATAACAATGGAAATTCTACCAACGACGTGATGTTAATTTCATTTGAAGGCACGAAGAAAATTTCACATATCCCTTTAGATTTCTAATTATTCAAAAAACGTTTGACAAATATCATATATTTCTTAAAGTAACTGCATAATATAGATAATACACTCATCATTGATACCAATTTTGTACGATACACGCACGTTTCTTCAGTGACTCTCGAATTAAAAGAGTTTAAAATACCAAATAAAGTACCAAGTTGAAGAGCATTGAGGAACCAAAATCCGAAAGGTTTTGCCAAATACAGCTATTGTGGTCTATTCTTGAAGTATTGAAGAAATTGAAATAAGAATTTTCAAAGTTTCGGAAATAAAATGTTAATCTTTTTTTATAAAGAATTGCATCTTGTGGTTTATTATTTGTGTGACAATAAGAAATTTGTAATTGTGTTGAGAAGTATTATTTATGTTTGAAATATGATATTCAAAATATTGATTGCTCAACTTTTTTTTTACTCAGTATACATTGTACAACTACATTACACAGTTCTCTTATATACAAGGATTTCAAAAGTCGAGTTTGTATATGTGGCCTTGTGAATTGAACTGATACGTGTTTTCGTTGTCCTTTAATCTCTCTTTAACATCAGTGTTTGTTTATATTAGCACTTGTATCTTTAGACTTGAATAATACCATATTAAATAATATCTATATTATTAGAGTCACACATTGTTTTGTTTCTTTTTAAGGATGTACGAACGACAGTATTACTAGTCTATCTGAATTTCTGGTATTGTATATTTGATTTTGTAATATGTTATGGTATACGGTTTTTAAAAATATTTACATTTTGTAATTCGATTTTCATTTCATACAACATTTTCGATTTTAATCATTGCTAAGAGTACTTTTTAACGGAAACCAGCTGAGAATGGGATAAATTAAATATTTACCATTTTGAACCGAATCTAAATCGATAAATGTGTTAAAAGAATCAAGAATTGTGTCTTCCCTATGGCTTTTAATTCTCCAAACAATATAAAAAAAAAAACAGGTAATATTTTATACAGCGTTATCAGAAACTGTTTGATTAGCAAACAACGGCCATAACAATGGAAATTCTACCAACGACGTGATGTTAATTTCATTTGAAGGCACGAACAAAATTTCACATATCCCTTTAGATTTCTAATTATTCAAAAAACGTTTGACAAATATCATATATTTCTTAAAGTAACTGCATAATATAGATAATAAACTCATCATTGATACCAATTTTGTACGATACACGCACGTTTCTTCAGTGACTCTCGAATTAAAAGAGTTTAAAATACCAAATAAAGTACCAAGTTGAAGAGCATTGAGGAACCAAAATCCGAAAGGTTTTGCCAAATACAGCTATTGTGGTCTATTCTTGGGGTAGAAAATCTTTAGTATTTCGAAAAATTCAGGCATACATATAACGCCACGTTTTGAAATAAATGTAACCACATTCCCGTCCTCATTCCTTCGAATGTGACTTACTAAATTAGACTTATAACCGGTTTGGTACTTACACGAGCAACACGAAGAGTTCCACGTGTGGAGGAGAATCTGATATCCTTTCCTTCTGGTTTGGTTAAAAGGTGTTCGCGGGTTATTCAGTGTGCACCACATTTTTTGTGTTATTTCTTCATAGACAGAAAAAATATTACAGTCATTCCTTAAATAATAAACAAATCATCAAAATAAATAAAGTGTATACAATCTATTAAAAAGTTTAGTATCTATTTACAATGTATATCTTTATCCCATTTCAAAAGATTTCTTGTCGTCGTAGGCATAGGTGTGACGTGTCTGTATCGATTAGTTTCCAAATATTAACATTTCCGATAGAGTGTGTTCAAATCTTTAAAAGGAGGACTAGGCGTATTGTCTCTGAAAATAACACAAATATACTTTATGTAAACCATATGTTTAAAAGTAGTGTAATCAAATCCGTAAAAGTATGAGGGTCTGGATGAGGGTTACAGAATAGAGAATAATGGGTCAACACCACAGAAAAGTAGGCCAACAAATTGGGGAAAAGTGAATAATTGGAGCAAAAAATATAAAGAATAGAGAATCATGAGCAAATAATATAAAGAATAGAGAAAAATGACCTAAAAATTAAATGAATACAGAATTGAAGGAATCCCAATCTAGACCCTCAAGTATCGAGGAAGTAGAATCGGAAATAAACTACATAAGTACTTCAGAGCAGTAAAAGTTCTATTTAACAATAACAGTATATAGTACTGTATAAATATATGGACCTAACATTTCTTAGAAAGGAAGAATTTCTGAATATTTTAGATTTAAGGTAAGAATTTAAGAAATATGGAGCTTGGTCATGATACGGTTAATCCTTTATGGTAAACAAAATAATATGTACCAAGGATTATAGAAAAAAATGGGTAAGAAAAAAAAATTTAGAGATCAATGGGGTGCTACAATATAAAGAATAGAGAATAATAGTAAAAAATAAAGAATAGAGTTAAATGTTTATTGAAGTCATTGTATTAATTTGATGTTTGTTAAGCCGCTAACGTATATATTATCGTCAGGATTAAATAGAATTTTTTTTCTGCTTTTTCCAAAAAATATGATTCTTTTCAAATCAAATTACACTAAATGATAGAGTACCTAAGATAGTGGCAAAGATCACATGCGGACGCTTGGTGATGTTCGTGTTGTTTAATCTTTATAAGTTTTTGTGTTGTGTATACTGTTTGTGTTTTTGTAATTTTTCTGTTTGTAATGTTGTTATCTCTATGAATGCGTATTTTTTGTTTTTATTACCTTATTGTAATTATCCTTTTTTATCATAGATAAAAGGAAGTGTTTAAGGGCTCTGAAACAATAACTTTAACGATAGGCGGATTTAGAGGGGGATATAGCCCCCTTTATGGCTACATATATGGTTAATGTTTACCAGTCCCACTCCTAACGACGTCTTGTCAAGCCTCCCTTGGATCTGCAACTGTCATAACATCACGAAAAATAATCAGATGGCCAATGGTTCTCAATTTTAATTTTACCATGGTGTCAAAATGAGATTTTTTTTAAACCTATTGAATTTTAGATAATATTGAGATACATAATATATAGTTAACAGTTTGGTGAATAATTTTTAAAACGTAATGTCAAACCGTACTCAATGATGCATTGAATTGGTGACATTTTTTTTTTTATTTTTCAAATTTAACACGTTTTTTGTTAAATTTTACATCGAAGGACAGTCAGCCTACTGCAAATTGAATTAGTTTAAATCTAGAAGAAAATAAGAAGATGTCTGGGACCGGCACTGCAACATGTGGGAATTAATACTAGTCTGAAGCAACAGTAGTGTATAGCGAATGAGTGTTGATAGAATAAAAATGAAGATATCGCACTCCCCCTTTAATGAGGGTCTGGATGGTGTTTACAGAATAGAGAATAATGGGCAACACATGCAGAATAAAGGGCAACAAATATATAGAATAGAGAAAAACAGGCAAAAGAAAAATGAAGAATAGAGAATAAATGGGTGCCAAAATATAAAGAATAGAGAATAATGGTCAAAATTTATAAATAATAGAGAAAAATGGCCTAAAATATTAAAGAATACAGAATTGAAGGAACCCCCCTCTCCAGACCCTCTTTTATCTTGCTCTATGGAATAGTAATAATACAGTCAAAGACGAACCGTAAAACATATGCAATGATAATTTTCAAATAAAACAAGTTCAAGCTTCTTTTCTTATAAGTTTCCTGTTTATCTATTTTGGACACGAAAGAAAGTTGAAAGGTCAGAATCGATTTTATTATCTTTTTGTGTACATTTAAATACCGTAAGTGTTGTTTATCAATTATGCAAGCTTTGTCAATGAGACATGTGATTAAATCTTTGTGTGAAAGATATCTTTAAAATTACTTGTTTATTTGGAAAAGAAAGAGTGTACATCCGAGTGGTAAGAGCTTTATACTTACGTCTAATTACACACATATATAGACGAGGGTCTGGATGGGGGGTTCTTCATTTTTGTATTGGAATTTCTTTTAAATTATTGACCATTTTTCTCTGTTCTTTATAAATGTTGCCTGTTATTCTCTATTCTTTATATTTTAGCACTCTATTATTCTCTATTATGTATTTTTTTTACTATTGTTCACTATTCTTTGTACATGTTATATTTTTTGGGTATTGTACCACAGACTTTTGTTAGCGTACATACAATGCATTTTGCAATCGTGTACAGAAGATATTTAATTGTGTTATCTATGGCCGTACCGACAGCCGGTCTTTAAGGTGTGAAGTCAATTTCACAATTTTTATAACGTTTGAAGAGAATGGCAACCACTTGGTTTGATTAAAGTTTAAAAAAATGTTTATCCCTATAGAAAAAGAGCCATGCATGTTTAGTGCCTTATTAAAATACGTTATAATAACCCTATTTTGTATCTTCTATTTTTCATGTATGACTAGACACATTGTATACATAAGTAAAAGTAAAAAATAGGCCGTAGAATAAACATATGCAAATTGAATTCCTACATGCAAACATATGTGTTATCTTGTTTATATAAGGTCAAAGTTATCTTTTTCTTCGTTTTTTGTTCGTTTGCTCGTAGGATAAAAAAAACCCATTTAAAACGACTTCTAAAATTTGTTTGATTTAAAAAAAAAAGATTTGCATGAGGACAATTCAACTTAAGTCATGTAGTTATTTCATGAATGTCCTTAATCCATCTGGTTCAAATTAACAAATATTATTAAATGACGTGTAGGATAGTTTACTAGATTATGATGAACATACATGTGTATGAATGTCCTGAACAAATATTATTTTATGATGTGTAGGGTAGCTTGTTAGATAAAATATTTCTAACAAAAATAATGTTGATGTTAAGAATCGGCGTCAACTCAATGCATGTTTAGTTTCTTATGTGTGTTATTTGGTTCTCTGTTTGTGTGTATTTTCAGCCACGGTGGCTGGTACATGTAGGTTTGAAAATTTGACCTGACACACAACAATTTAAAAACAGACACGATCGAAAAGGAAAAAATGTCATATTTTGACAACATATTATCTCTTAAGTAAAGGTTAAAGGTTAAATGTAGCTGTGATACTGGGAATTGAATGGAAAAATGATTGGACTACTTTTAAAAAATGACCTTAGGGGAGGGTTGGGCGCCGTTAACATGTGTAAACACACCACATTCTGTATGTGCATTTCCCAAGTCAGGAGCCTGTAATTCAGCGGTTGTCATTTGTTGCTGTAGACCATATTTTTTTCCTTTGTTGTTTTGAACATAAATCAGGCCGTTGGTTTTCTCGTTTGAAATGTTGTACGGTTTTTTATGTCGGGCCTTTAAAAGCTTGCTATGCGGTATGGGTTTTGCTTATAGTTGAAGTCCGTACGGTGACCTATAGTTGCTAACATCTACGTCATTTGGTCTCTTATGGATAGTTGTCTCATTGACAATCATATCACATCTCCTTATTTTATACTGGTGTGAAAGTAAGTCCAGGGAAACTTGACCTTCACTCTTTGCTTACCGTAAATTGTGTTCTATAAAATCTTAAAGGCAAGTTAAGAGACTATCAGATAGTTGCCGGAATCACTAGTTTTTTTTTTGGACGAAAAATCTTTAACAGATAAAGGCGCAAAATAACCACTACCGGTGCCCGGTCCCGATGAAACCGATACTTCAACATGTGCTACTAGTAAACAGCAGACGTATACCGAATGGATGTAGAAATAAATAGCTTCGCCATGAGCGCATAATATGGCCGTCACTTTTTTACAGAACAAAGTTCCATAACTCCTCAATGTCATATCAGAAATTTATAAAAAAAACTACAGTGAGGTTAATTTAATAGATATAAAGCAGTCACGAAAAGTTTCATGAAAACCACTTAAAGCACTTTTGAGTTATTGTCCGAAAACTGGAAAAAAACCTTTTTTATGAATAAAATCCCATAACTCGGAAACGTAAAATCTAAAATTTTTAAAAAATCGAATGGGAGCTTACGTTAATAGATATAAACAATTCACCAAAGGTTCATGCAAATTGGTTAAAGCGTTTTTGAGTTATTGTCCGACATGTTGACGACGGACAGACGAACGGACGGACAACGGTATACCATAATACGTCCCGTAAACGGGCGTATAAAAGATGAGGAAATCGCATGGGAAATAGCATGAATTCCAAGATTTCTGCGAGTACGGTATCCCCCTTTTATCTTGACAGATTTAATAAAAAAAATACAGTCAGAGACGAGCAATGAAAATCAATATAAAGAAATACATGCAGGAATTAATGACGATGGTTAAATACAACAAATTCAAACCTTCTTTCGTGTACGTTTGATTTCTTACTATTTTTGACCTGAAACGCACTTTAAAGGTCAGTATCGATTTTACTATCTTTTTGTTTGTATTTAAATACCGTTATTGTTTTGATTACCTCGACTTTTATCATAATCATGTAAGCTATTATGTCGAGTACGTAGGCATTAATTATATCCCATGTAAATGAAGGTATTTTACTTGTTGATTTGGATAAGAAAGGGTGAACACGAACGGTAAGAGCTTCATTCTTAATAATTATTCTGACATACATGTACAATAACATTCATAGGGTATTAATTACTTTCACATTTCATACATGTAGTACAAAATATTTTTGGATCGTAACATGGGTGCACTATCTAAAGGTTCATCAGAATGAATTGACACATATGGATGTGTTTACACTAACCAAATAAAGATAAACTGTACCCCTGGAACTTTCTGAAGCTTAATGACCTAGATAAATAATTATCAATTAAAAGTTAATTGCATTTTATGTAAAAGCCTAACTTGATTTTGCGGGCTTTGGCGAAAGGAAGTTTCCCTGAAACACACAAGGCATGAATGCAACCGATTGGAAGGACAAAAATTAGTTATGAGTGACCTTTCGATGTAAAGAGAATTATATACTAAAGCATCGACCATTCATGTTTGCTAAAAATAAAAAGGGGAGGGGTAAATAAATTGTTTCATTCTAATTTTCTTGTTTTTTGTTTCAGAAGGGAAATAATTCATTTTCATTGAAAATTAGGGGGGGGGGGGGGGTATTCAACATGCATGGAGTTAAAAAAAAATATTTCTGGTAAGTTCTTATAAAAAATGCTTGGAGTTTGATTAAAGTCGGAAATAAAATTTGTCCTTAGAAAAAAATCTCAACATCCCCCAACAAAAGATGAATGGTCAGTGCCTTATTGATTAATTATAAGAAATATAACACTAGTTTTTATCTTATGTTTTCATTTATGACTAGACACACAGTAATTG